GTAGAGGGAGTTAGGAGTGTCTAAATGAGGTGCGGTTTTCGGCCACGCGATCGTGATCGAACGCTCTAGATGATGGAGAGGGTTTTGGTGGGTTTTGGGCCAACTTGGAGGGATGTTGCTCGGTTAACCGTTGGAGTATTAAACGAAGTCCAAATGGTACGAAACTTGACAGACGGTCTACCGGTAGTCAACCAAGGCCGCTTGGCAAGTCTCGGTCCAATCCGGAAATGTTTAATCCCCACACACGAAAGAAAGGTAGAAATGACCACCGGAGGAGAACGAAGCGCCGGAATACAAAACGGACAACGGGGAAAATGCTCGAATGCATGAGATGAACACGTATGCAAATGCAATGCACATGAAGATATGATATGAGATGCATGACAACGAGAACAACACGGGGAGACAAAAATCCGAAGCCGAGAAAATAAAATAACTTAACGCCGGAAATGGCAAGAGTTGGAGTACATATTAGGTAAATTATATCCGGGGTGTTACAGTTGACCATGTGTTCAAAAAATGTTAATATTTAATTTATAAAATGTTAATCAAACATATGAAAAAAAAAGTTAAGCGTGGATAGAAAAAATGTTGACCATGTATTAGAAAATGTTAGTCTTGTATTTTACAAATGTTAATCGAGCATTTGAAAATGTTTAAAAGTGTGTATAGGAAAAATGTTGATCATGTATTCAAAAATATTAATCTTGTAATTGAAAATTGTTAATCAAGAATTATAAAAATCTCGTATTTGGAAAATATTCTTCACTTCTGTCCCTCGGGATACGCTGGTGGCTCCCCTGCCGGTCCCCACTATCTGGTGCCGCTGGCTGACCCTCTTCCCCATCAGAATCACATCGTGGGTAGTGAGTCGTCGACCTTGCATGTGTAGCCTCCCCCATTTCCAAAGAAAAAAAGTGTAGCCTCCCCCATCTAATTCTTGAGTCACTGGCCTCACGGCATCTTGCCTTCAAAACGGCTGCGCCTCAAGCTCGCTGAATGGCGCAACATCGAGGCCTTGATTCAAAAGGAATGCCATCATGGCGCACTTTATTAATTTGACAAAATAGTTACATCATTAACCAGAGCATTAATCAGGAACCTGGGGGTTCATTCTATCATAAGCAAACTTAGCTAGGGTGTGCGCTACCTCATTCTCCTCCCGGTTACAATGCAAAAATTGAACTGAACCTATCATACCCGCCATAATGAAACATTTTGCATAAACTGCCGAGGCTCCAGTCCAAATTATGTCTTGTCCTGAACAAGCATTAATTAATCACCTCAATTGAATCCGATTCTAATTGGATGCAATGAAAGCCCAACTCATGGGCTAACATAAGTCTCGATTTGGTGGGACGTTGCTATATTATTCTGCTTTGCATATGTCGTGTTCTTGCACCACGCGGTTGAAGGTGCAGTCCATGAGACGGCGCACCGCGCACATACCGCAGCACGCGTTTGATGAGAGCGTGGTGCCAGTCCTGCGGGTCATGCATATGCAGGCAAATCTGCTGCATGGCGTACGTGAGCTTCGGCGTGTGGGAGCTTGCCCTTCGTGTCGATCGACGTCGGAGACGGCTTGCATGTGTCCATGCCGGCGCGCTCCAGAATGTCTTCGGCGTACTGCCTTTGACAGAGGAAAAAACCAACAACATTGCGTGTCACCTGAATGCTGAGGAAGAACCGCAGAGCGCCCAGGTCTTTCATGGTGAATTCGCCGGTGAGCCGTAGGATGATGCATTGGAGAAGTGCCGGGGACAAAGCAGTGAGGACGATGTCATCGACGTAGAGAAGTAGGAACGCAGCGTCATCGCCGCGGGCATAGGTGAACATCGACGAGTCAGAACGAGTCGCCGAGAAGCCCAGCGTGTGGACGAGACCGGAGAACGTCTGGAACCACGCCCGTGGAGCTTGTTTGAGCCCGTACAGAGACTTGTTCAGGTGACAGACGTGGTGTGGCTGCTGTCCGTCAACGAAGCCGGCGGGTTGAAGACAGTAGACCTCCTCCGTGAGTGCGCCGTGCAGGAACGCATTCTTGACGTCTAGTTGGTGGACAGGCCACCGCCGTGATGCAGCGACGGTGAGGATGGCGCGGATGGTGGCTGGCTTGACCATCGGAGAGAACGTCTCGTTGTAGTCGACGCCGGCGCGCTGATGAAAGCCTCGGACGACCCACCATGCTTTATAGCGTTCGAGGGTGCCATCCGCCCGAAATTTGTGCTTGAAGACCCATTTTCCGGTGATCAGGTTGGTGCCGGGCGACCACGGAACCAGCTCCCAAGTGCGGTTGGAGACGAGCGCAGAGAACTCGTCGCGCATGGCGGCAAGCTAGTTTGGAACGCGCGCGGTGACCCGCACGGAGCTCGGCAATGGAGAAAGCGCAGTGGATGGCGAAGCAGTGGCGGCGTAGTACTTGGGGTTCGGCCGGAAGGTGCCGACCTGAGCTCGCGTCACCATGCGGGTTGGAGCAGCGGGCGCGGTGCGCGGAGCAGCCCTGCTAGGTGCTTACAAAGAGCTAGCGCCGTTCGATGCAGAAGGGGCGGTGGAGCTTGAACCAGTGGAGCGCGTGCGGGGCGTAGAGGCGTCAGAGCCGCCCGCTTCAGATCCAACGATGAGGCTTGAACTGGTGGAGCGCGCGCTGGGTGCAGAGACGTCGGAGCCACCCGTACCGGATCCAACGGTAGTGTTTGAACGCGCCGGGGACGCGGGAGACAACGGGGCGCTAGAAGGGCGATCCAATCCAGATCTAGAGGGCGAAAAAGAGCCGAGCACCGGGCGAAGAACCTGTAGAACAGGCGGAGCGCCCAGAGGCTGCGGAGCCGGCGGAGTGGAAGGAGCGGCGTTCGCAAAAGGGAAGCTCTCCTCATGGAAATATACATGGCGTGAGGTGAGAACCCGCTTAGACCCGAGGTCGAAACAGCGATACCCGCGATGATCGGCAGGATAGCCAAGGAAGACACATGCTACAGAGCGAAAATCAAGCTTGTGGCACGCCGTGGAAGCAATGTTTGGATAGCAAAGGCAGCCGAAGACGCGGCGCATGCTATAGTCGGGAGCAACGCCGAGGAGAAGCTCATGAGGAGTGCGCGGCGAGCTGCTGTGACCAAGGTTTTGGATTCCGAATGGACGAGTAGTCAGGGTCGTCAAAGTGGGGAACGACCGCAGCGTCGACGTGGTCGCGGAGCACGAACATCCCGATCGCGGTGTCGAAGTGACGACGCCACTGCGCGTAGTTGCTGGCGAGCAGATCGAGGGTGATGGGGACGTGGCAGCGAATGTCGATCGTCTGCAACACCGACGGGAGGACGGTGGTGGTTGGGGCAGTGGCGACAGGGCCAGCAACGGGAACGGAGGCGACGGGGCCGGCTGGAAGGAGAGCGGGCGGAGGTTGCAGTGGATCGATAGCGGCAGGAGCGCCGGGGCCATCCGCAATGGGGGAGGAAGGAGAGCCGGGGCCGTCGGCCATAGCAGCGGAAGCAAGATCGGAAGTATCTGATACCATAAAAGAGGGAGAGGGATTGTAGGATTCAACACACTTTGGATTAGCACTGCGGCTAAGGCTATATACAATTTACAGGCTGATCGTGTGCCACTACCTGAGGCCGATTGTGGAATACATCGGGCCCACTACAAACACTCTAGCGCTGACTGAAGTCGCGCTGTATACACAATACATACACCATACGTGTATACTCTAACAGTTCTCTACAAAAAAAGCAATAAGTAATTATTACCTGTTCGTTCTCTTTTCTACATTTCAATTTACCCTTCTCATGATTTTAAGAAAGTCAGAAACGTATTGTGGAAAATTCCCAGTTGATCGGTTGCTTCAGTCAGCTGTTGGTTTGCAAGTCAATCGTGTGCGTTAAGTAACTTACTGAAATAAAGCTACGAGATACCAGGAAATTGAGGAGCTAATAATTTGGATCACTTGCCTGAATTATAACTGCACCATCCAATTGAAATCAGATTCACAGCTTAATACATGATGTGCACCATATATATTGATGACAATTTGTTTTCTGCGGCAACCATTGGGATTGGGATTGTGGGTTTCTTTCTGAGCAAATTGTGGACCTTATTAGTACCTACACATCGAAGATTCAGCAGTTGGAAGCTGGATTAACACGGCAGAAGTTCTCACTGGCCCAAGGGCCTCGAATAGGTTTCACTATCGAGAGGTTCAACATGGTGGCAACCTGGGTGAGCTACCTTTTGCGGACCCTTGCTGCTGTTTTGGTATCTCTAGCCTGATTTTAGATGGTGTTTGGTTCAGAAGTTCTAGGATTTTTTCTAGTTCCTGTAGAAAAAGTCCATCCTGTTTGGTTTCTAGAGATTTTTTAAGAACTTTTTCTAGTTTCTGGAACTAAAAAGTCCCCGAACCAAACACCCTCTTAGTGCTCTGGCAGCAAGTAGCTATCAGTTACCCTAAGGCTGGTCACAATGGGGAGGAACTTAGGAGTAACATCACACACTCCAATACAACTTTGCTTATGTGGCACATATTTAATGAAGAGAGAGGTGCTTGTGGTAACTAGCTAAGTTACCGGAACATCACACACTTCAAGAAACAATGAGTCTATAACCTAATAAATACATCATTGCATGACACTACATAGATGTTCCTACCCGCTATGGAGGTAGTAATATAGTCTAGGGAAGTGTGTAAGTTACTAGCTTATGTTCTTGCCCATTATGACCAGCCTAAGTTGTGTAGAAAACCATGATTCATCTTGAAATCATATCATTCTTAGGTCGGGTGTCGGTAATAAATGTTTTGTATTTGATGCTACATTTTAATAACTTCATAAAAGTGCGTGCCTTTTATTAAATTATCACGAAAACCTTGCCTTTTCTTTTTGAACTTAAATTCGAAATTCAAATTACAGTGCCAAATTTGAATGGCAAACAGCTGGCAACACAACAAGTACGACGCGCAGGGGCTCACATTTCCCCGCCATGTACAGAAGCCACGATCGAGAAAGCCTCCAGCTAGCTTAGAGGCCACAGATGGGCAGGTCGAGCGGGGGCGGCACCGTGGCCTGGAGCTCCCCCTTGCCGTCCTCCACCAGCAGCGCCATGGCGAGCCCGCCGGAGAGGTGCGCGTCGATGTGGCAGTGCACCAGCCACACCCCCGGGTTGTCCGCCACGAAGCGCACCACGGCCCAGCCGCCGACGGGCACGCCGATGGTGTTCCGGCTGGGCGGGTCGACCATGTTAAACCTGCCCGCGTCCCGCCTCGGGTCGTAGTTGCCGAACCCGGTGGCGAGCACGTAGAAGTGGTAGCCGTGGATGTGCATGGGGTGTTCCTCCGCCGCGAAGATGCCCGTGTCCTGGAACACCATCTGCACCACGGCGCCGTACCTGACGCGGTACAGCCGCGTGCCCTTCACCGGCTGCCACAGCGCGCGCGGGACGCTCTGCGAGGTGTAGTCGAAGGCCACCGGCGGGCGAGCCGGGAAGTCGTCGGTGAAGACGCCGGGGATGCGGCCGTAGTGCGCCTGCAGCAGAGAGACGGCGCTGGGGAGCTGGAACGACACGTTGTTCATGCTCGCGCCCAGCCGGGTGTTGTTGGGGCCCTGGCAGAAGGGGCCCGGCCGGCAGCTGAACTGGCCGAACCCGACCGTGGTGAACACCTCCTGCGTCACCGGCCCGGGCACCTTCACCGGCCTCGGGCTCCGGATGCTGTTGGAGAAGGCGGTGGCCGTCTTGGTGTCGTTGTTGGCCGGCAGCATAGCAGGGAACATTGGTGCTCCAGCGCCTGCCCCTGCGGCTGCCTTCTTGTACTGGAAGATGGCGGTGGCTGTGGTGTTGTCCACGGGGACGCCCCGAGCAGAGGCGTAGACGCGGGCGCCGAGGTAGTAGCGGCCAGGGGCGGCGTGGGCGGTCACGAGGACGTCGGTGGTCTGTCCGGGACCAAGGAGCACCACGGTGGTCTCGAAGGGCTTGGTGTACATGGCGTCGGCGGCCACCACGGTCATCTTGTGGCCGGCGAGCGAGACGAAGAGCTCGGAGTTCATGGCCGCGTTGATGATGCGCAGCAGGTTCGTCTCGCCGGCGACCACCGGGATGATGCTGGTCTCTGCATGGTGGTCACCAATGATAAGTTTCACTGTTTCAGTTGGCAACATGCATGCATGCAAATTAACGTGGTAGGTAACCAACAAAATTAAATAACACCTTGGCTGGAGCACTGGAGGAAATCTCCGGGCTGGCCGTTGATGAGGATGGCGTCGGAGACGTTGGGCCCCGCGCCGGTGACCATGGACTGCCTGAGCACCGCGATAGGGTCCCTCCTCCACCACTCCGCTGCACGTCGATCGATCGATGAGATGAAACTAAACTATAAACTAACCGACGATGATGGACGTACCCAGGACGACGGGGAACTCCTTGGCGGGCTTGGGAAACGGGTAGGGGCGGCCGCGCTTGGGGAGGATGACGAGCGCGCCGTGCACGGTGGCGCGGAGCCAGGAGCTGTGCGCGTGCCACCACAGGGTGCCCTCCTGCTCCTGGATGGTGAACCGGTACGTGTAGCTGGACCCCGGCCGGATCGGGCACTGCGTCACGAACTCCGGCCCGTCCGCCCACCCGTTCCGGAGCTGCCGGAGGCCGTGCCAGTGGAGGGTCACGTTGTACTGCGCCCTGTTGACGGCCTTGATCGCCAGCGTGTCGCCGTCGTGGACCTCGATGGTCGGCCCCGGGAACTGCCCGTTCACCGTGATGATCTTGCTCGTCTCGCACAGCCTCTTCACCACCGTCTCCTGGACCTGCATGGATGCCGACAACAGTCAGATTAAGCATTACCAACTAGTGCTAGTGCTAGGAGTAGAAATACCAGGAGACAAGACTGAACTGACGAGAGGATGGAGGCACGTACCACGAACTCGTAGAATCGCTCCTCGGCGAGGGCGCTGGGTAGCAGGAACGACAGCACAAGAACACCGGAGATGCAGCAGCCGAGCCTCATGAGACGCCTCGTCGCCGCCGTCGCATCCATTGCTCCTAGCAGCTCCAATGCCTAGCCGGCTGCTCGCTTCTGTCAGATGCTGTTCTTGCCTTGCCTTGATGACAAAACCAAGCGTCTATAAATAGATGCAGATAGATAGAGGTCGATCGGCGCGCTGGAGAGGAGGTCAGTGCGGTTGTTTGAGCTTTGGAAGATTAGGTTTCGACGATTTCGTCCTGCGATTTGTTTCCTCCATCTCTCCTGCTCCCTCTTCCTCCTTTGGTCTGCCCACGCTTCAAAAATTAATGCTGACGGCCAGGGAGTTGTTGCACCCACAAAAGATCCATCACTTTGAGCCACGCTGCAGGGGCTAGTTTAGGCTGTTTGTCAAAGTGTTCCTCAGATGGCACCCTCCTTTTCCCACTCCAACCGAGCAGTTCCTCAAATTCCAGTGGTTGGATGGCGACGCAGGTCCGATATGACTATTGATTAGTTAGGGCCATTCAGCAGCTTACGTACTATTTTCTCGCTGGTAACCATTAACTAATCGTGCTTTTTCCATTTCGAGAAAAAAACTAATCGTGCTTTTCAGAAATGGTTTGAACTAATCTTATCAGTGAGAGAGGAGCAGGCACCAGCATTCGCATGCTTAACTGAAGTCTTATCAGTGAAATCTTTTTTTTCCTTTGCGGGGGATTATCAGTGAGACCTTTACTTGAATTAACTAGGAAGGACTCGAATGCTTAACTGATTTACTGTAAACAAACTACAAATTCACTGGCTATTTTGGTTTTTTCATTTGGTTTTCAGAAGGCAAGCTATTAACACTTCAACTTCAACCAGGTTGCTCTCTTCGTGGACAGTAACATTACGGTAAGAGCATCTCTAACTGATCCCTAGCTATGATTCAAGGAGGATACAGCCAAGTATCTTTAAAGGAGGATAATTTTCCTCCTCCAACGGTGGCCGGATCTATCTAGTCCCTATATTTAAAGGAGAATATATTTGTTTCAATTCTTTTAGCCTTGTCACGTACATTTCAAACAATTCCACACTATTTCATCAGTCATTCGAATGATTCAAAATAAACATGCACAACATCCAAACCAGAAACATGCATAGTTGCACGGTTTGGGCAATTCAAATTAAAACATGCAAATAGTTTATCCAAAAGGCACCACATCGACAAGTTTGATCCAAAATCACCACAACATAGCTTGTCTTATGTTGTTGATTGACCCCAACCAAAGGCATGCAACAAGAACTCAAAGAACATCGTCACTAGAGAAATCACGACCACCTCTAACTCCGCCACCATCCACAAGGCCACCACCACCATCCACAAGGCCACCAACACAATTACCATCTCCACGCCCACCACCCCTATCGACATGGCCACCACCACCATTCCGAAGAGAGACCTCCTTCTGAATCAAGGTCCCTCCACGAGTGAGCTGCCAAAACTTTATTGATGTGTCATCTATTGTGATTAGATACATGAACATGATAGCATGTTCTTCGTCCTTTCTTTCATTCACAAGCCTCTCCTCCTCTAGTGCAAGCCTACGCTCTGCCGCCTTCAACTCCCTCTCTTCGGCCACCAACTTTGACCTTCGTCTCTCGTCCTCCGACAACTTGCGCTCATTCCATCTTGCTGCCTTCTCTTCTTTGCATTCGGCCGCCAAGGCTTTCTTGGTCTCAATTATGGCCATGAGCTTTTCTTTGTAGGTGCCGCTGAAGACTCCTCTTCTCTTCCTCTCTTTTCAACTTCACCAAAGGAGCCCAAACTTTTTGCACACCCTCCCATGACAATCCAAAGCATCCATGCCAAATTTGAATGGGTTCTGACATTGTATGCATCTTCTATGATTTTCCCGGAGGAAAAACCGTAAAACACTGCCCGGACGTGACGCAACGTGTGTTCAGTGTCCAAATTCGGTCCAATTTTGCATGGACTAGTACAATGGATAGGCCCATATCTTGGCAAAATTTGGTGTCATTCCGTGAATGCCAACATAACCACTATGTACAAGCAGCAACGTTCGGGTTTGCCATTAGGGCAAGTGTAATACAACTTTTTTTTCAACTTCACCAAACGAGCCCAAACTTTTTGCACACCCTCCCATGACAATCCTAAGCATCAATGCCAAATTTTAATGATTTATGACATTGTATGCATTTTCTATCTTTTTCCCGGAGAAAAAAAACCCTAAAACACTATCGGACGTGACGCAATGTGCGGTCGGTGTCCAAATTCGCAATTTTGCATGGACTAGTACAATGGCCATGCCCACACCCTGGCATACTTTCGTGTCATTTCGTGAATGCCAGCATAACCACCATGTACAAGTAGCACCATTCGGGCCTGTCGACAGGGCAAGTGTAATACAACCTTTTTTTTAACTTCACCAAACGAGCCTAAACATTTTGCGCGCCCTCGCATGACGATGCCAAGCATCCATGCCAAATTTGATTGATTTTTGATATTGTATGTATTTTCTATGATTTTCCCAGTGGAAAAACCCTAAAAGACTGATTCGTTCCAATTTTGCGTGGACTACTGGGGTGGGCATGCCCACATGATGGCAAAATTTGGTGTATTTCGAAATATGATCAAAATTTGACCATCTTTTACGGAGGCCGTTTGCGTAGTGGAGGGAAGCGTCCGTCTCAAAGGACTTTTCTTTCGGCATCTTACGAATGGACCCAAATTTTTTCTACAATCTTTTATCATCATGAGAAGCATGCATGCAAATGATCGCTTATTTCCGAGACTCCGGGCATTTTCTATGATTTCCCGATGGAAAAACCCTAAAAGGCTGCCCGGACGTGACGTAACGTGCGTATGGTGTCTGAATTCGTTCAGATATTGTGTTGAGTGCTGGAGTGGGCATGCCCACTTCCTGGAAAAATTTGGTGTCACTCTATGCATGGCATGAAGTACACCGTGTAGAACGAGGACCGACTGGGTCTGCCAGTATGGCTAGTCTCGAAGCGCTTTCTCGGATTAACATTTTTCAAAAAAATTGGCCATTTTTTTAAAAACAAATCACGAACATTTTTTTTGTTTGCCCGAACATTTTTTGAAATGAATGAATAATTTTGCAATTCATGAACATTTTTGAATCCATGAACTTGTTTAATATTGGGGAATAAATTTTGAAATACGCAAATAATCATGAACATGATAATATTTGCCAACATTTTTTTCCTAATTGTGAATGTTTCTAATTTTCAAACAATTTTGTAAAATCACAAACATTTTTTGAAACCGCGAAAAATTTATGATTTCCCAAACATTTTTTCAATTCACAAACATTATATGATTTCTCAAAATTTTTTCCAACAATTATGAAATTTGGAAATCCCAAATTATTATAAAGAAGGAAATAACAAAAACATTAATGGGAAAAGATAATAAGACCAGAAAACAAATGTAAAAAAATCAGGGGCGTTACTCTGTATTTTGCAAACGGGCGCCTGAAGCCCTCCAATCTGGGCCGGCCCATTTTGTTTTTTTCATGCATGTAAAATCATAAAAAAAAATCTTGAAAAACAAAAAGTATCTGGTTAATTTGGGTACTGGTTGGAACTGGCACTGCACACGTGCAATCTGCTTACTGCTGTTAAGAGTAAGAATTGGATGGCACTAGTTCTAGTTTTTCTTTGGTTTTGCAGTGTGATTAGCTTTAGTTTGAGTGTATGCGTGCCACGTAAGGCAAAAGGGCACCGGAAAGAACCGAACATGTGATGGCGGGATTGCAATTCTCAGAGAGACACGCGGCAGACGCCACGGACGTGAGGTTGTCTCGCATGAAAGAAATTCTGGGAGATTGCTAGCTTCTCCACCAAGTCGGACTGTCCAAGTAATTATGATTCGCAAAGGGAAAAGAAGTGCAAAGGGAAAAGAAATTCAAAGCAAGCTCCCTCTGATAGCTGAGGAGGGAATAGATACGGCACGCCATGTTGACAAGGAATGTTTTCCTCCGGGACAAAAGAGAAACACAGCAGCAGCCACCAAGAACAAACGCGGTAGTGCTGAATGGAATGGAAGTCGGTTGCTCTCGGTTCACACGCGGAGCCGAAAAGGCGAGTCTAGGCCACTGCCGTCTGATCACGCACTGACGCACACTTTTTTCTGCCTACAAAAAGAGCCGGCTGCTTAGCCTATTGTCCAATCCTCGCTCGCTCCAGTACCACAACTAGCCATACCCATACATACGTACGTACAGCTGATCTTCCCATAGTCGGCAATGGCGTCCGTCGATGACCTGGAAGCGGCCACGGTGAGCGGGATAGCCCAGTCCATGTTCCCAGGGACTGTCCCGACGAGGGCGCAGTTGGCGCGCTCGCTCTGGGCGCTGGGCTCCCTCACGCTGCTCGTCGGCATGACCACCGCGTTCCACCTGCCACCGGCCGGCCCGATCCTCGGCCCGGCCGTGTACTACCCCATCCTCGCCGTCGTCCTCGCCGCCGCAGCCGTCGAGATGGCCACGGCCGTCTTTCTGCACGTCCCGGCCATGTCCTCGGACGGGCCGCGCTTCCACGCCTTCGCCAGGGGTCTGCTGCCCTTGGCGTACCTCCTCCTCCTCGTCGCCGTCTCCGCCAGCGGCTTCGCCATCCCATTCAAGCTCCCCAAATAGCTAGCCAGGTGATGCATGCATGCATGCAGTAGTAGTCTCTATTGGAAATATGTATGCGGAGTACGTGGAGGTGTTTCCATGTTGAGTTAGATGCCGGCCGAGTCAGTCCGGTGAGTCTGTGTTGCAGCTACGTCTACGTACGGGCTTGCACTCGGGAGGACTAGTCCGAATAGGTTTCGATCGCTACCTAGTTCGAGGCATCATTCGCAGTCCTCCAACAAGTACAGTGATGAAGACCACGAGCGTGGAGTACATGCCCTTCTTCTTCTCCCTGGTGAGCTTCCTCAACGGTGCAGCTAGGGTTTTGTGTTGCCAAAGTTAAGGCTCTGCTGGCCATATATACGTTTAATCAATCGCCCAATCATGCGTGAATGCATGGTCTGTGTGTGTGTGTTCGTGTGCGTGTTT